AAGGAAGAGGTCGACACCGAGAAAAAGGCCGATACCAAGAAAGGGCACAATGATCAGGGTGTTAGCAGCGCGAAAAGGAAACATCAAGATCAAGAGTCTGATACGGGTTCTAAAAGGATCAAAATAATCCTTCGTCATCCCGATTGTGTTGAAAGTCAGAACATCTTCATTGAATATTTTAAGGAATGTCTAAGGGCCCCTCCTCCCAACCCTATGAGTATGGATAGGAAAAAATGGGTCCTCGAGTCAGTTAATCATCTGATTCGCTCCTATAGAGATATGTCGGCTGCTGCAATAGCACTTGCAATACTAGACGAGAAGTCTAGGGAATTTTACTTAAGCATGATGAAGAAGTGGGGCGAGGACAAAAAGCGCTCCGATAGAGAAAAAAGGGCACATGACTACCGCTGGATGATACGAGCTTTAGAAGAATGGGATGAAAAGGCCTGGGAAAAATTTAAAAGAACTAACAATTTTTGAGTTCAGCCTGAAATGGTTAGAGCTATAGAAGAGAGAGCTCATGGAAAACAAAATTAGATGAGATTTAGCTAGTTTTGAGTTAGACGCTAGATATAGGAACTCAGTTCACAAGATTCTCTGCATTCTAATTCTCGCCTATGCAAAGCCCTGCAAGGGCGATGTTATATCAAATGCGCGTTCACAAGCGCTCTATGTCTTTGACTTTCTGCAAGCTGTCTCAAATAGTATACCCGAGTAGTCCTATATAGGTCATGTCTGAAACTAGATTACAGAGGTGGATGGGCCGGACTCTACTATCATTCCCACTTGGGTTGAGAGTGCCTTTAAATAAGTATTTGGTTGGCGGGCAAGGGGCCTAATAACGCGAGCTCCGCTTGCTCACCAGATTAGAGTAGTGACTATCCCTCATTTGCATGAGCAGAACGGGTCATAGGGTCTAGAAACGCAAACAGCCGACGGGCAGGACACGTCTGTAGACAATTGCCGCCAAACCGGTGTCAGGAGGCGAGGTTGAATACCATAGTATCTTGCAGGGGGATGAATTGATTCATCTATCTCGCCAATTCCTTGCACGCGGAACTCGAAGAGAGCCGCGCAGTGACAATCACAGCGCTAAAAGCAGTCAGACCCGATGATGTTACGAAGATAGCTTCACGTGATGAAAAGTCTGACTATTCATATTAAAGATTGACCGAGAAGAGTATATTCGGTGCATGAATCGGGCTCGATAGCTAGGGTGACCTCGTCTCTTCTAGCTGCTGGGTTCCTCGTGGCTTCGCCAATCTTCATCAACTTCTCCCGTAGCCGTTTCCCCGCTTCGATCTTGATATCTGCCTGATTTTTTCTCCAGCCTACGAGAACGTTCCGCTTGGTCTTTCTCAGCTCTTTCAGCTGCATTTTCAGAACCTCCTTAGCACACTGCAGCTCTAGCTCTATCTACATTACTTCTATCTCCGCCTGTCTGGAGATGACATTCATCTGCTTCAAGCGACCAGAATCTTTAATAGCTTCGAGGAAGACAATAGCTGATTGCAAAAGAAGCCTGATCTCATGGGTTGCCGTTCTCGTCCTAAAAACAGCCGTGTCTCGTATTGCGCCTAGGTCGCTAGCGACCTCGGGTGTGAGTGGGAAGGATAGTTGTGGCTTTATGATCGCCCCCCAACACTTGTCAGTGATGATGTCCAGCCATCTAGGGAGCTCAAGCGAAGGTACACACTCCAATTTTTCTCCTCGGACAAGCCCGAGAGGTTTTGACCAACAAATTCAAAACAAGCCTGCTCGAGGATGTCTTAGGCTGTGGTTATCACCAGGTGCTGTGTCGTCAACGGAAAGTAGCAAGGCTCATTGTCAGTGCTCGGTCTGGTGGACCCCGACTCCGTAGAACAGCTAGACTGTTGTGAACCATCCGTTGAAGCAGGAGATGTCGCGGCGGACCGTTGATAGCGCTCTGATGGGAACGAGAGGGATGTGTGTGATCCGCCATCCTTCATCAAAGTGCCAAGACTGTCGGTTTCCTGGAGGGAGCTACAGAATATGTCATCTCCGTCATCTGATCTCGAATACTGTATGTGTCGATCTGTTGTTGATCTTTTCTGCCCTGATCTTTGTACTTCAGAAACTTGAAGGGTGATCTCGCTCGCGTTATTCGGCTTTACATGATGAAGATATTCTTCCTCCTGCACTAGCGGAGCTGTCAAGCCATCAACTAGAAGGCTAAGACCCTTTTCTATATATTGCATTCTGTTTTTGGCCGTCTGTGGACTCGCATAGTACAATAATTGGCGAATTTTAGTAGCATGTAGGTCTTGGCATGTCGTTGCGAGTCCACCGCGGTCTGGTGGATGCAGCATATATATAGGACCTAGATATGGACGGCTTAAGCAAGCTCTTGGCTCTGGATAACTTGAGAATCCGTACAGCGGGACTCAATCCTAACGGATGGGCCATTGGTCATCTTCCACTGATAGGGCCTTTCCACAGCCTGGGCGGGACAATTCGCCTTTGGGGCTCCACCGCGTCCAGAAATAGCCGTTCTTATAATTTCATGTACAGTAGAGCAGGAACCCGAACACTCGTTTTGGCCCTCACTGTAATATGTCCAATATATCATCATCATCTAGCAGGCTACTGTACTAGTGTACTAATAATTGACATATTCTCCTAAGGTAACAGCCCTTGCTTGCGTCCTCTACTACCTAGAGTCTCCCTCCAGTGCCAGACATTGGCTGGTTCGGCTCGATGCTTAATTGCCCTAGGATCTGTGTTCGTTCCATAATCTGTTAGCCTTGGTAGCTGGCTTGCACTCGATTGATACCTTTCGCAGGTTTCTTGAAGTAGATCAAGGATTTTTCGCCGGAGATCTCTGGACCTCCTACACCGTAGCATAATGTAGGTCGCCGTTTATCGCTCACTTCAGTCGCAATTCGTATCTATCACATTCTAAAAGCGTCGATCGAAGGGGAATCCCTACGGACTTAGTATTCCCTCACCCTTTTGCGTGCGAAAAGGCAACCCCTGCCTCTCCTACCCAATCACATACGCTTCCCCTCCTTTTACAAGACACGCCTTCCCTATTACTCCTTAATACCCCTGTATCCTACTGAATTTCCGGAGGATCCATGCATCCGTGACCACGCTAGGATAGATACCGACCTCGTCGCACTAGCATAAGCGTGAGAAAAAGAGCGATACGAAAAAATCTGTCTTTCCCCTCTAGTAAATGAACTAGTTCTACAGATTCATACATATACTATTCTATATCGTCTTACTACGCACCATGTCTCTCCTAGTGTC